CAAACTCATAGAGATCCGCCTGCCTCTGACTCCCAAGTGCTGGGATTAAAGGCATGCGCCTTCAGCGCCCTGCAATTTATTTACTTTTATTTTGTTTGATGCGTATGGGTGTTTTGCCTGCATGAATGTCTGTACCACTTCTGTGCCTGCTGCCCACAGGGGCTGGAAAGAGGGCAATGGATTCTCTGGAATTGGAGTCCCAGACAGTTGTGAGCCACCATGTGGGTCTTGGGAATCAAACCTGGGTCCTCTGCAAGAGCAGTAAATGCTCTCAACGAGACCCATCTTTGCAGCCCTCTACTACTAACTTTTCAGTTAGAGTTTCATGGAGCCCAGACTAGCTAGTGGCTCACGAACTTGTTATGTCGCTAAAGATGACCTTAACCTTCTTCCCTTCCTGCCGCTGCCTCCTGAGTGTTTGCATTCCAGGAGTATACCACTATGTCTGGTATATGTGCTCCAGAAAATGGAGCCTAGGATTTTGTCCATTCTAAGCAAAAATTCTACCAACCGAGCTACATCTCCAGACCCAGGTTTTTAATATTTAATATCTTAATATTAAATGTCTTTAATGTTAAAGAGAAAAGTTACGATGTTAGTCATTGATAAGAGATCCTGACCAGATGCTTGGGATCTGCTGAACATATTAACTGTCATTCTGGTCCCTTGGAGGTGTGGATTACTAGAGTTAGGTCCCAGCCCTGGGCTATCAGACACGACCTGTTTATAGCTAGAGATTGATCCTGGAAGTAGGCCTGGGGCAGGAGAGAGAGTGGATGGGAGACTGGTGTCCTAGTTAAAGACTCCCCGTTCCCAGCCCCTCCCGCCAGCAGGCTGGCCAGAATAACCAGGCAGCTTCATTGGGTCAGACTGCCAGTTCCTGCAGACTGCCGCTCTACCTGCTTAGCCCTGCTCCTCTGGCCTAGTCCCCGAGCCTGAGTTTCCAAAGACTCTCTGTGGCCCCGGCATGTCCCCAACATGCATCCCAAGACAATAGACAACAACAGACAGGATAAAAAGAGTACTTGGGAAGATTCAGATTTCTGGGGTTGCTAATCGAATGACCTTCGGTACCAAGGGTTCTTGACCTTTCTAAGCCTGTCTTCCTGTTTCATCTACACCATAGGAGCATTTTCGAAAATTCAAGAGACGGGCTGGAGAGATGGCTCAGAGGTCAAAAGAACTGACTTCTGTTCCGGAGGTCCTGAGTTCAATTCCCAGCAACCACATGAAGGCTCACACCCATCTATAATGAGATCTGGTGCCCAGAACACTATATACATAACAAATAAATTTTAAAAAAAGAAAAAAGAAAATTCAAGAGATGTGCAGTACCTTGTGACTGATAGTTGGTTTCCTAGCTCTCTCTCTCTTCTCTGTGGTGTGACGATGCATTGCCAGCAGCCTGCTGTGCAAGGCTGGCATTAAACCTGCCTCTCCAGCTTCCTATAGCCCCTGGGAACAAAATGAAATGGGGCTTTTAAAGCCTTCTTGTTCCTCGTTTCCATTTGTAAAGAGGCCCAATCGGGACCACTAAGTGGGGTCCAGCACTTTTTAGTATGCATAATAAACTAAATTTCAGGACTGTAACTTCTCGGAGTTGGAGAGATGGTTGTCTCAGTAGCAGCTGTGAGGACCGAGTTCAGATCCCCAGCACCCATGTAGAAAGCCAGGCATGGTGGCACATGCTTGCAATCCCAGCACCAGAGAGAAAGAGATAGGAGGCTCCCGAGGGCTTGCAGCGCAGCAAGTCTGGCCTAGTCCAGAGCTCGACAAACTCTAGGTTCAGAGCCTGCCTCAAAAAAAAAAAAAAAAAAAAAAAAAAGATAGAAGGTGTCGTTTCATTGCTGCAGTGAAACACTCTGACCCATGGCAAGAAGGGGGGAAAAGGTTTATTTCAGCCCTTACTTCCAGGTAACAATCCATCACTGGTGGAAGTTAGAGCAGAAGCGCAAATAGGGGGAGCCTGGAGACAGGACCTGATGCAGAGGCCACGGAGGAGTGCAGCTTACTGGCTTCTCCCCATGGCCTGTTCAACCTGCTTTTTCATAGAACCCAGGAGTGGCCACACTCACAATCCTTTTGGCCCACGCCTGTCAATCACTGATGAAGAAAATGCCCTACAGACTTGCCTACAGCCCCATCTTATTGAAGCGTTTGTCTCCATTGCGGTTCTCTCCTCTTTAGTGATTCCAGCTTGTGTCAAGTTAAAAAAACTAACCAGGACAGAGAGTAACCGAAAAAGACACTCAGTGTCCACCTCTGGTCTCCACACCTCTGCAGTGTACAAATATGCACTTGCACTCCACACACATGCTCGCGCGCGCGCGCGCGCACACACACACACACACACACACACACATGCTCCACTAAGAATGTAACTTCTCATTCCTTGCCTATAGAATGCAAATTCGCTTGGGGGTTTCTGTACAGCTAGTTTTACTCAGGGACAGAATGTGCTGTCTGGGAGTTACCATGGCTCCTTCCTGTCTTCTTCCTTCCAATGTCACCTATTGAATTTTTCATTGCTCATTTGATTTGTGGTCTTTACTTGAATTAGCAGATGGAGTGAATTCACAGCCCTGTGTTAGCCCTTGCAGTGCTTTGTGCTGAGTGCTTGTCTGGTTGAATCCCAGCAGTTCTGAGGGGGTGACACTGTTAGAGGCCAGGGACAGTGAGCTCCTTCCCAGGGTGACCCAGATGTAAGGGGATGAGACAGTGTTCAAACCCAGGTCTTACGTCACTCCCAAACCTGTGCCCTCTGTTCTTTAAATTGGACACTACTTTCTTGTTTTCTCTGTCTGCTCTCTTGTTTTGAGTGTTTACAATATTAGGTTATATCCATCAAGCTGCTGAGGGAAGAACTCTGCTGTTCTGCACATGGTAGTCATGGCTGTAATCTAGGCACTGTGGAAACTGAGGCAGGATGAGCAAGATTACAGGAAGAGGAAGAGTTTGCAGCCAGCTCAAGCTACATAGCAAGACCCCGTATCACAAAAACACAACAGGCTGAGTGTGGTCCCCCGTGCCTGTGATCCTAGAATTTGGGAGGTAGAGGCAGGGAGATGAGGAGCTAAAGGCCAGCCATCGTGATATAGAACTGTCTCAAAAAATATGATAATAATACAATGAAAAGTTAAGGCTACAGCTCAGTGGTAGACTACTGCCTATCAGGCATGAAGCCCTGGGTTTGATCCCTGGCACCACACAGTGACATGAATTATCAAACACCTATAACCTCTGCACTGGGAAGGTAGAGGCACAAGGATCCAAAGTTCAAGGTCATTCTCTGTTACGTGATGGAGTTTCAGGTCACTCTGCCCTAAGTGAGGTTCAGTCTCAATAAAGCAAAACAAAACAGAGATGGGTCAAGTGGCACATTACAAAAAAAAATGTTCTTTTTTTCTTTTCTTTTTTTCCAGTCAGGGTTTCTCTTTGTAGCCCTGTTTGTCCTGGAACTCGCTCTGTAGACCAGGCTGGCCTCAAACTCAGACATCCACCTGCTTCTGCCTCCCTAGTGCTGGTATGAAAGGCGTGTGCACCACTGCCTGACTTTTATTTATTTACTTAACATGTATGAATGTCTTTCTTGCGCGTATTTATGTGCACTGTGTTCCTGCCTGGTGTCCTTGGAAGCCAGAAGAGGGTAATCTGATCCTGTGCAGCTGGAATTAGACAGCTGTCACCTGCCATATGAGTGTGCTAAAAACCCAGTCTGGGTCCTCTGCAAGAGTGTAAGTGCCCCAGTGGAGCCATCTCACCAGCCCTACCTTTTTGGCTGACTTATTTGTTTGTTTGTTTATTATTTTTTTTGAAACAGAGTCTTAATGTGTAGTCCTGGTTAGCCTGGGAAAGTTAAGCCAGGCTGACCTCAAGCTCACAGAGCTCTGCCTGCTTCTGCCTCTTCCAGTGCTGGGATTAACAGCGCACACCATCACACCCAGCTATCTTATTTTTCAATCTTTGTTTCTGTGATTATCAGTTTTTTCCCTACATGTATGCCTGTGCACTGAATGTGTGCAGTGGCCAGAAGAAAGTGTCAGCTCCCTTAGAACTGGAGTTACGGATGGTTGTGAGCTGCCATGTGGGCGCTGGGAACTGAGCCTGAGTCCTCTGACAGAGCAGTCAGTGCTCTTAACCAGAGCCAGCCTTTACCTTACCTTTCTGAGACAGGTTCTATTTCCAAACCTGGGGCTCCCCAGCTAAACTAGACTAACTGGTGAGCATTCTCCAGAAACCTTTCCAGCTCCTGCCTCCCCAGCCCTGGAACAGCAGACTTTTATTACCCTGTATAGCTTTTTGTTTTTGGAGACAAGGTTTCTCTGTGTAACAATCTGGACTGTCCTGGAATTTACTCTATAGACCAGGCTGGCCTTGAACTCACAGAGATCCACCTCCTCAGCCTCCCGAGTCCTAGGATTAAAGGCATGCACCACCATCGCCCAGCCCTTGTGTAGCTTTTTACATGGGTGCTATCTCAAGACAGAAGATAAATGCTGCTAATCTCCATTTCTACACTCCTGCGTGTCTGTGTGTTCTGTTTTCATTGTACAGGGAATTAAACATAAGGCCTTGGACATGGCAAGCAAGTATTCTACCATTGGCTACACCCATGGCTCCTGTCCTGCTTTTTATTATTATTATTATTATTATTATTATTATTATTATTATTATTATTATTATTGTGTTAGACAAGATCTCATGCATCCCCGACTGATCTTGAACTCACTCTGTAGCTGAAATAATCTTGAACTCTTGATCTTCCTGCTGGAAGCACAAGCATGCACCTCCATATCTGGCCTCGTTTAACCATTTTATGGGTGTGTTTGCGTGTACCGGGGTACACATCACATGTGTGCACACACCTGTGGATGTACGAGGACAACCTCAGGTGTCATTATTATGCACCATCCATCTTTTGCTTGAGACAGAGTCCCAGAAAATCTAAAAGCCCACAAAACCAACAGTAGATTCATTCTAATATTCCATTTTCCCTATAGGAATAACAGTCAAATGAAGAAGCGGCCAACTTCCGCAGTGGGCTACAAGAGACCTATCAGCCAGTATGCTCGGGTTGCCATGGCAATGGGGTCCCATCCCAGATACAGGGTAAGAAGCTGGGAAGTGGAAGCCAGGGAAGGGATACTCACAGCAAATGCTCCCTCTAAATATCCATCACCCTCATGACACCCAAGGTCCAGTGCCTGGAATATGCCACTGCTCACGGCTGATGTACCATTTTACCACAGGCTGAAAATATTATGTTTTTGGAATTGGATGTTTCCCCACCGGCCATCTTTGAGATGGAATTTTCTCATGACCAAGAACAAGATCCACGGGTACTACACATGGAGAGGCTCATGAGGTTGGACAGCTTTCTGGAAAGACCTTCCACGTCTAAAGTGCGAAAGTCAAGATCATGGTTAGTACCACCATGGTCAGTGTGAGCCCTGGACTTCAGGAAGCAGCGGGACTGTATGGGTTGGTCAAGGCTGTAGACGGTTTGAGTGGCAGCCAGATAGTGTGGGAAAGGAAAGGGACAAACCCTCACCCTTCGATCTACAGTGGTACCTGTGGGCAGGATATGATGGCACAACCGTGTGGCACAACAGCCTGCCAATGGTGGCGCACACCTTTAGTCCCAGCATTGGGAGGCAGAGGCAGGTGGATCTCTGTGAGTTTGAGACCAGCCTGGTCTACAGAGTGAGTTCCGGGATAGCCAGAGCTGCTACATAAAGAGAAACCCTGTCTCAAAATACTGGNGCCTGGTCTACAGAGTGAGTTCCGGGATAGCCAGAGCTGCTACATACAGAGAAACCCTGTCTCAAAATACTGGGGGGGGGGGGGGTGGGCGGGGGGGGGGGGGGAGGAAAGGAAAGGAAAACCCTTGAATTTCTGTCCTCTGGTTTTTCTAATCCCTCCTTTGGTCTGTCTCATTGCTTCTGCACAGGTGCCAGAGTCCTCAGCGGCCTCCACCCTCCACCGCTCATGCCTCCATGGCCTCTGCTCCTCTGCACCCCGAAACGGCGGTGGTAGACCATGATTGACGGCCTTCAGTCAGGCTGCCCGTCATACAGACTCCTAGGACAGGGCAGCCAACCTTGGTTCATCGCATCTGATGCTTGGTGCGCGTGTATGTGTGTGTGTGGTATGTACGCACGCATGTATGTGTGTGTGTGTGTGTGTACTAGTGCGTGTGAAGGGATGAGAAACTGGCAGGTGGTGCCTCTGCCTGTTTTCTGTGTCTCCTTTATTTAATTCGTGTTATTTATTCATGGAGCTTGGTTAGTGAGGAGAGATCCCCTCGCCTGAGCTGCCTGGGCCTGCTGTGGTCACTGCATTGCCTCCTTTTCTTCTGGCTGGGTAGATACCTCAGTCAGGCCCCAAAGCTCCTCATGTCACCTGCCTCCAGAAGGGAAGACGGCTAGTGCCTGAGAAGATAATGCTTCCTTTTCCCGTCCATCCCATAGTCCCCATCTTCTTGTCCGATGGTGAGCAGCCCTGATGCTCTCTGGGGCTGGAAAACTGCTGATGTCCATTGAGGGCAAGAGGTACCCTAATAGCACTGGACCTGTACTCCTGGCGGACTGAGCCTTGCCCTCCTCTTTCTGGGCCTCAGACTCTTCCCGCCTCCAGGGCTCTTTCCCAAGGACTTTCAGTAGCCTCCCTGAGACTCATCCCAGGCTCTCCCGCCTTGGCAAGAACTCATGGCTTCCCCAACTCCACTTCATTGCCAGCCCTCTCCACCCTTGTACTGGGAATTGTGAGCCAAGCAGTTGTTGCCACGATGAGACCTGCAGGAAACGGAACAGTGTGGAAAGAACGCGGATTGTCATCAAGGGAAGTCCCCTCTCAGGTCCCTTTGTTTCTGTCTACTCCAGGAAGTTTCTTTGGTGAACAAACCACCTGTCCTCATGTGAGGTGTGGCTTCTTCCTGCTTTGATCACTGTTCCCCGAAGCTGTCCGATCTCAGTTCCTAGTGGAAAGAATCAGTGTCATTCTGCCCCTTACTAAACGCAGATAGCAACACCCCTCGCTTTCTCCTTCGACTAGTACAAGAAACTCACCCAGGCACAATCTTTGCCAGATTTACCTATTAGCCCTCTTTCCTAGTCACATCTTGGGGGAACACGGTTTTGTTGAAAACTGATCCATTCTTTACCACTTGTGTGAACTGGCCTTCCTCACCTTCCTTTGTGACAGCCCCAAATGTCTCCAGGTATTGCAAGTAATAAGTAAATTTCTATTTTAAAAAGTTAATTTTCATTGACCTTTATTTTTTACATGCAAGATAAAACTTATTTTTTTAAGATTTATTTTTCATTATTTTTCAACTACGTGTGTCTGTACATGAATGCAGAGGCCAGAGGTATGGACCCCCTTGGAGCTGGAATTACAGGTGGTTGTGAGCCACCTAACATGAGTGCTGGGAATTGAACTCAGGTCTTCTGGAAGAGCAATATGTGCTCTTAACGGCTGAGCCATCTCTAGCTCCTCTCTCTTTCTCTCTCTTTTTAAGGTAGGATCTTTCTGTATAGCCCTGGCCCGCTTCTAGTATCCACTTATGTGGCCACCCTTGCCTCAAATTTGAGGCATGCCTGCCTCGACTTCCCAGGTGCTGGGATTATAGATGTGAGCCCTGATACCCAGTTTTTATTTTTAAAATGTTATATATATGCAACCCCACAGAGTTGCTTAGAGTCACTCAGGCTGAGGTAGAATTGCTAATGAGGATAGCCCAGTCTATGTAAGAAAACCCTATTTCAAAAAAAAAAAAAATCAAAGCTGGAGAGATGGTTCCATGACTGACAGTACTTGCTGTTCTTCCAGAGGGACCCAAGTTGAGTTGCCAACATCCACGTTAGGCAGCTCCAGGGGATCTGACAACCTCTTCTGGGCTCTGCGGATGACCTGCACATACATGCACATACCCACCTACAGACACAGACTTACACTTAACTAAAGATGAAATGAATTTCTCACATTCGGGTTTGACCTGAGCATGGTGGAACATGCTCTCCTGTAATTCCAGCACCTAGGAGATGGAGGTAGGCGGATCAGAAGTTCAAAGTCTTCCTTGGATCCATGGCAAAAGAAAAAGAAATACTAAATTAAAAAAATTTAACTTAATTTAAAATCATCCAGTTCTATTTATCCTCCAACAAACTTGGACTTGTTCCCTAATTGCTTTCCTGATATGTCTCTAGGGAATATCCATGAACCTCTATTTCTGTTGTTTTTCGTTTCGCTTTGGTTCGTTCTGAGACAGGGTCTCTCTGTGTAACCCTGGCTGGCCTGGAACTCAGTGTGTAGACCAGGCCGGCATGAAGCTTGCAGCCATTATCCTGCCTCTGCCTCCAGAGTGCTAGGGTTACAGACAAGGATCACCAGGCCTAGCCCTATAGTAATCTTTTTCAAGCCTTGGAGCTACTCAGATGTTGATGAGAACACAATTTCTGGACATAGGAATTGTAATTTCTGCTGTCAACATTTAACAGTTTACTCCTTAGTTATTATTTATTGTATATTTTGTTGGGTAGTAAAGGGTAATTTGTAAAAGCAAGCAGGAAGTTAGGATTTCAGGTGCCCTGACGCTGGGAGTCCCTTTCCCTGGCTGATGAGCAGGTCTGTGGTTTCTGTAAGGCGTGAAGCTGGTAGATCTGCCAGGAGTCCTGTGTGACGCAAGGGCAGCGGAACGTGCTCGACTCTGGGAAATAAGCTCTTCCGGTTCACGTTCTCTGCGGGTCTCGCGCTTATCTCCACTGCTGTTTACTGTTCTGCCGGACTAGACGGGTGAGCCCCGCGATTGTCTGTCCTTTACTCAGGATTCCGATCAGAGGTTTGGCTGTATCTGGGACGGGAGCTGTGTGTAGGATTCGCCCCGTGTGACCTGGGCATCGAGGGACCTCCCCCTAACCGCTTTGTCATGTGTAGATGAAGCTGCATGTGCCATCATACCCATCAGTCGTACACACGGACGCCACATAGTCTGGGTCCCTCACAGTCTTATAGCACAATATACCCCACTTCAGCACCCCAGCCTGAGGGCTAGGCCCAAGGGTGGTCAGAGGAGGAGCCCCTGCCTATGGTATTGTATATGTGTGTTTATGTGTGTGTGTTCGTGTGTGTTTACCTGTGCAGGGGGCACTACACTCAATGTAAGATACTTTAGGGACAGAGCCACCAGGGGTGGCTGGATCTCAGTCTGTCTCTCTTTTCCTTTTCTTTTGATGTATCAGACATTTGATTGACAAAGTAAGGGCCTTAATCAGGACCAAATTTCCGTGTCTGTTGTTATGGTCTTTAATAAAAGTTAAACAGTGGCCCATTCTTGTCATGCTATACATATGACTATCTGGGACATATGTAATATATAAATATATAAATATATATATATATATAAAACATTAACCTTTATCCCCTTGGTTTAGGATGGAGGCCTTTCTGTTAAGTTGAAATGCACCCTAGCTTGGTGCTGCCAGTAGCCTGCAGGCCCCAGCCCTGTTGAGATTAACACAGTCGACAATAAAGGGATGAGTATCATTGCGGAGTTGATTGCTTGCTTCTCTTCCCTATGTCTCTTCCTTCTCGGGTTTGCTTTTTCATTTTTGCCTTTCTCTCTAGCTTTTTCAGTAAGGGCTTAAAAAAATCTGGAGGCCACCTGCATTGACCAGAACACTGGAGAAGAAATAATTCCTCAATGAAGGGACATCTATTGTGGTTAGTGGATTCGTGTGGCATGTTCAAGGCACTCGGTTCCGTCCCTGGCATGGACGGAAAGAAAAAGATAACTAGTAGACTAGGTGGTAAGATAGCTTGTTGGGTAAAGGTGCCTGCTCCCACAGCTGACAGCCTGCTTGCATCCCCGAGGCTGCACATGCAGTGTGGATGGCTGCAAGTTGTCCTCTGACGTCCACGTGTACGCTGTGGCAAGGACACGCACCCATACATGTGCACTATAAAATGAGAACCAAATAGAGACTGTTTGACTTGAGAGAGAATACTGGGAGATGGCCCAGTCAGCGAAGTCCTGAGAACTTGAGTTTGGATCCCCAGGACCCACTTAGAAGACTAGGTGTGTCAGAGCTTGCCTATGGTTCTAACACCGGGGAAGCGAAGACAAGGGGCTCCCTGAGGCTTACTAGTTAATCCAATCAAATACGTGAGCTCCAGGCTTAGTGAGAAACTCTGTCTCTCTTTTAAATTACACATTTTATGTGTCATCTACTTTTTTATTCATTTTTTAAAATTTTTTTTAAATGTTTATTTATTTATTATGTATATATACAATATTCTGTCTGTGTGTATGCCTGCAGGCCAGAAGAGGGCACCAGACCCCATTACAGATGGCTGTGAGCCACCATGTGGTTGCTGGGAATTGAACTCAGGACCTTTGGAAGAGCAGGCAATGCTCTTAACCTCTGAGCCATCTCTCCAGCCCCATTTTTTTTTTTTTGCTAGCTTTCAAGACATGCATTTGGAGAGCAGAGGACCGCTTGCATGAGTTAGTTCTCTCTCCCTATCATGTGAGTCTCGGGGATTGAACTCAGGTTATCAGTCTTGTCGGCAAGCACCTTTCCTCAGTGAGCCATTTCACCAGTCTGAGAGTCATGCTCAAAAAGAATGAAAGAAAGAAGAAAAACGGTGCTTTAGGAAGACGCTTTTGGCCTCTGCATGCGTGCACGTATCACACCACCATTCACACAAGATGAAGGAGAGAGAAAGAGAATCGGAATGTGTGAAATTATCTGCACATTAGGTGGAAAGCTCCCCTGGGAGGGTGTACCGGGGCTGTGGGAGCAGCTATTCACGTTCCAGAATAGCAATCTCCCACCAGGTACTTCTGACTTACTGGCTCACCTCAGAACTGGGAGGGGATACTCAGATTAGCTGTCAGGGTTTGGACAGAAATAAACGTATAGAAAGCACATGCATGTGTCTGGCATATGGGGAGGGCTGAATTCCAGGACGGCACTAGTTTCTGAACTGGGTGGAGCTCACTGAGAGAACACACAAGTACCATGCCTGAGGCCCTGTTTTCCACTTACAGCTCATAAATAGGCATAAAAGATCTAAGTCCCTCTGGACTCTCTCTTGGAGAGAATGAAAAGTAGTGACCCAAAACATGGCTTGGCTCACAAGGCAGAAACATTAGTGACCATTTTGGGTGCTTGAGGTTTTCTCAAAGGGATTTCTTACCTCTGAATTTCCAGCCCTCAAGCTCCCAGACTTCAAGTTGAGACATCTTCCAGGGATTGCATTGGGCACTTTGAATGAAGAAAAGAAAGAAAGAAAGGAAGGAAGGAAGGAAGGAAGGAAGGAAGGAAGGAAGAAAGAAAGAAAGAAAGAAAGAAAGAAAGAAAGAAAGAAAGAAAGAAAGAAAGAAAGAAAAACGGGGGTGGGGAGAGACATGACTGCTTCTAGGTACAGTGGTGGAAAAGGTTTATTGTACGTATGAGGGAAAACATAGGCAGAGACAGAGACATCTGGGAGAGTCCAGAGTGACTATGATTCTGAGCCAGGATGCGTGAGGAGAGAGAGGGAGGGGGAGAGGAGCTGCCAACCAAGAGAGATGCCTGGGCCAAAAGACTGGCAGAGCCAACATGGCTGAGTTATGTAGGAACCAGAGAAGTGTGCAGAGGAAGCCGGTGAGTTTGGGGCGGGGCATGCCAGTCAGGAAGGCCCTCTAACAGGTAGAGATTGAGGGTTGCTGGGAGATAATAGCAGCCAGAGTCTTCTTGGATATGTCAGTGGGCACGAATCAGCCATTTGTCCTGGGTTTGAGACCCAACACACTTAACTCACAAGTTTGAGTTCTCCTCCCGGGTAGAGTGACATCACTTCTCTTCAGAGAATTGGGGAAATTGACAGTCTTATCTGTCCACCCAGTGATGAAGCTGAACCTCCTCCCCCAAAGCTTGTAGTTTTCATTCCTCGACTTGCTATTTCTCCAGCCCACAGGTACCAAGGACCATAATAGGTGCCTACATGAATATGGTAGAAAATGTATCTACCAGCAGGTCCTGCCACAGGTGCCAGAGAGACAGAATCTCAGTCTTGGTGGGGATAGGACTGACTGAGATGTTTGGTTTGTGACATGTGGAGAAAGACCTGCCTCCAAGAGTCACCCTGCTGTAAGCATGTGAATGGGTGGGAGAGATTCAAGCATTCTCACAAGACCATGATGGCTGAAGTTAGCGCTGAGTAAGGCTCACTGGTAGCATGTGCTTAGCATGTCCAAGACTCTGGGTTTGGGCCTTAGCACTGGAAACAAACAAATGAAAAAGATGATGGTGGTAGTGGAGGGGGTGGAATAGGCTCTGGACAGCCAATGTTTGTGTGTGTGTGTGCGCGCGTGTGTGCGTGAAGGTCAGAAGACAATATGACGAAGTTTCCCAACAAGTGGGTCCTGGGGCTTGAACTCAGGTCAGCAGGCTTGGCAGCAAGGACCCTTACCTGCTGAGCCATCATATAAGTCTACAACTGATTTTATTGTTATTATTATATTCTAGAGATTTGTTATTTCTATTTACATGTATATGCGTGTATGTTTGCATGAGTCTGTGTGTACCATGTACATGCAGATGCCCAGGAGACCAGAGGGCATCAGATTTCCTGGCACTGAAGTGGCAGGTTGTTTGCTCCTAGACCTCCACAAGAGCAACAAGTGTTTTGACCCACTGAGCCATCACTCTTGCTCCACCACAGGTCCTCTTGACTGTGCAGGCTAGCTTGAGAGAAGTCTAATGTGTGTTTATTTTATTTCCCTGGGTTATTTTTTTAGTCTGTGTAGTAGGAGGCCTCTTGTTTGTTCCCAGCTGCTCAGTCCCAAAATAACTACACAGAAACTGTATTAATTAAATCACCGCTTGGCCTATTAGCTCTAGCTTCTTATTGGCTAACTCTTACATCTTAAATTAACCCATTTCTATTATTCTGTATATTGCCACGGGGCTGTGGCTTACCGGGTCAAGTTCCATCTGACATCTGGCATCTGTCTCCGGTGGGGCTACATGGCTTCTCCTTGACTCCCCCTTCTTTCTCTATCTATCTTTTCCGGCCTGGCTATGTTCTGTTAAGCCATTGGCCGAAAGCAACTTCTTTATTCATTAACCAATAAAAGCAACAGATATACAGAAGGACTTCCCACACCAAGTATAGCTCGAGGGTTACCTGCATTGAAATGATTAACCTCAGTAGAGCACAGTGGCCCACACCTGCAATCCCAGCTTTAGGAAAGCAGAAGCAAGAGCGTTGCAAGTTCTGGATACAATTTATCTACAGAGCAAGTTCCAGGTGAGGCAGGGCTATCTAGCGAGAGCCTGTTTCAAGAAAATCAATCAGCGTGGGGCTGGAGAGACTGTTTTTGCAGAGGATCCCTGTTTGGTTCTCAGCACTCACATCACGTGACATACAATTTACAATTCTAACTCCAGGAAACTTGACATTTTCTTCTGGCTTCCCAGGGAACCTGCACTCACCTACACACAGAGAGACACATACCCAGAAGCATGATGAAAAATTAATAAAAATAAATATTTTAAAAAAAGGAAAATCAGGGGCTGGAGGGATGGCTCAGAGGTTAAGAGTATCGCCTGCTCTTCCAAAGGTCCTGAGTTCAATTTCCAGCAACCACATGGTGGCTCACAACCATCTGTGATGGGGTCTGGTGCCCTCTTCTGGCCTTCAGGCATAAACACAGAAAGAATATTGTATACATAATAAATAAATAAATAAATAAATAAATAAATAAATAAATAAATAATAAAAAGGAAAATCAACCAACCAAACATCTACTTTCCCCAAAGGGGGAAAAAAAAAGAAAGAAAGCTATCTAGGGCTTGGGCAAGCGTGAGAACCTGGGTTTGAGTCCCAGCACCCACATAAAAGACCAAGCATGGCTACATGCATTTGTAATCCTCGCTGGGATTGAAGAAAAGAGGCTCCTAGGGGACTAACTGGCCAGCCAGTCTAACCCGTCAGTCAGCTCCACGGTCAGTGAGACTGAATCTCAAACAAGAGAGTAACAGAATGAGGTACTTTCCGTCAACCTCTAGCCCCCATGGGTGCACACCCACGCCTGCATACACATCACCACACACACACACACACACACACACACACACACACACACACACACACACACAAGAAGGCTATCTAGGGAGTCACATGGAAAATGCATCATTGAGAAAGGACAATGCACATAGGAAAATAAAGTGGCCTTGGATTGAGAAGACTCTCAGCTGGAGGTAGTTGGTGTCCCCACTCCAGGCCTTAGAGACCTGGCAACAAAGCAAGTTAAAATTGACCTCTAAATTCTCTTGGCTGATGCAGGAATTTCAATGTCATTTCTAGAAAGAAAGAAAAAAATGGATCTGCTTTTATTATTTATCTTGCTACTCACCGGCAAACCCCTCTCTCCAAGGAAATTCTAAATGTTTTGCTCACCCTGGAAACAATGGTTCCTATTTCGGATACCCTCTTCCACACCTCGCCAGCATCCTCTCTTGAGGGACGTGACAGTTCTCTTTGATGTGCAAAGC